ATCCTGAGCTATCAAGTCACAAAGGACCTTCAGAGGGAGAGATACAATCGGCACACAAGTCAGTGATCTTTTTAGAGAACAATCACCTGAGTTAAATATATACGAGTCACGATGCTAGTTTATAGTCACGATGTTAAGCTTAGAGAAACAATACCTAAGTTTATGACTTTGGTTTTATGATCCTGATAGTTGATCCGGGTTTTTGGGAACAGTAAACAATAATGATGTCTTTAAGTTAATGATTTTAGTACATGTTGTTAATGTACCCTAAAACAATACCGTTGCCTACGTGCAGGAATGTATGAGCTAATGGGTCAAAATCATATAAATGAACTGCTGAAAATAAACTCGGCGTCCACTCTTGACCTAGCGTCTTGCGGGCTAGAGTGAGACCCTCTCAACCCCAACTTGTCTTGTCTTGTCGTCTCTTTGTCACGTCTTTCCTTTTCTCAGTCCTGCAGCACAGGTTTCTGGACCTGTCGGCTGGCACCGACATCCAATCAGGGCACTCCTGGAACTTCCTTTTTTCCCCTCTAAAGTTTTCCCAACTCCTCTGCCCGACTTTGAGTCTCTGCCAAAATCTAAGTGAAGGGGCTGACTCCCTTGCTAGAGCAAGATTTGAATAAACACCCTTTGCTTTCCTCGTGTGGCTGGTCTTCATTTAATTCCACAGTGCTCAATAATTACTTGTTAAATGAAAAACGAATAACCAATAATTGAGCCTATAAATGTATAGGACATCCATTGAGTACAAGTTTCATAGAAAAACTGAGCAGGCTCCACTTTCTGTCATCTATGACAAAACCTCCAGAGTCTAGCTAGATACTCACTCCTCACTCTGACACTCAGTGTGACCACATTCTCTCCCAGCCCCCAGGGGTGAAGTAGGGGTGAAGACCCCTGAGCGGGAGTGTAGGTGAATGTGTCAAGGGGATGCCTCCTTCCTTTGTTTAAGTGGGAGTCTGGGGTATTTTCCAGAGCCAGGGCTATGGGGAATGAACTTTGTCCTGAAGCCATTTCACTAATGTTGGCTTTCTCCGCGGGGTGGAGTGTCTGTCTATTCCCTGGGGTCATTATGAGTTGACTGGAGTGTCCCAAGATACCTGCTCTGAAACTGGAGGTATAAACCTGGGACATGAGCTCATCAATTCTGTAAGAAGCAGAGGAGCATCTTGGACGGTTAGCGCTGTAGGTTTTTACTTGGAGCCATGGAGGTGGAGGAGAGTCTGTGTGTAAGACCCTTTCCCAGGCTGAGATTTGCAGGTCAGGGTGGAAGGTGACCTTTGGGGAAGGAAATAGGGCTGGTAGGTGCTAAAGAGGTGAGGGAAAACCTAACAGATGAGGGACCAAAGGTGACTGGGAAGTGGTGAAGTTACTCTGACTTCAGGCTTCAGCCTAGAGAGTGTCAGGCTGGTCACAGGGATACCTCTATGCTATCAAGTGACAAAGGCTGTCAGCACCAGAGACGTGAAAGACGGTAATCCTGGCTTTCTTGGGCAAAATTGTTATGTTTGCTCATTTGTTCTCCAGTCTCTGGACTGAGTCCCAAAGTCGGCAGGCAGACCTGCTGGGCCCTTGCCACCCATGGCCCATGTCACGGTGGGATTCCTGACAGTGCTGCTCTTGGAATCTACCTCCCTGAGCTGTGCTCTGGCCCCCTTTGCGGGCACATCTCTGTAACTCAGTATGTCCTAGGATTTCCCTCTCCGCTGCCATGATTTTCTGACTCTGGAAATATAATTAAAAGCCAAATCTCCTCCCTACCCTGAAAACCTCCCCACAAAGGTAGAAGGGAAAGTAAAGAGTTTTATTTTCGAATAAGCATTAAATCAGAATGTGACGTGCATCACAGGCGGCCTGCTAAGAGGTTGCAAAGACAGAAGGAAGACCACCCTTTCGTACAGCCAGGCGGTGGCAGCCCATTACACACATGCTCTCGAGATACAGTAACCTGTCTTCAAGGAAGAGGACTCGACAGCGCCATCTGGCTCACAAGGTTCATCCTACATTCACCTGGTAATTGGGAGGACTGTCTGTATTAGTTAGTTGGCTTTATCCAAAGGAAATACAAACTTCTCACAGGTTATGGCAAGAGATAATTCTGCACCTTGGGGCAAAGTGCCTGCTGGACTTAGGGTCCTGCCCTCCTGTAAAGCCTCGGAAATAGGGGCTTTATCTTCCTTGATGGTTGCAGTTGAAAGAGACCGATCCTAAGTCCTAGAGAAAAGACATCCCTGGGTCGGAAAACTGGCTGGAAGCTTATTTCGGTTTTTAAATGTTTGTGTACATTTCGGAGACAAATAACTTACAACCCCCCCCACTTCTATGGGGGCCCAATTACTAGTCTTTCAAGAGAAGCTAAGATCAAATCTTGCTTGGGAACCACTGAGGGCAACTGAGAGGAAATAGATTTTCACTGCAGGAGGAAAGGATGGGGCTAAGACAGAACCTGGGCAGTGATCTTTAGAAGATATAAGAGACAGTTTCCTTGTATGATGGAGATGCCAGGTGAGCGTTTTATTTTTATGTTTACACATTTATTTTTTTTTCTCAGGGTCAAGGCCATGGACATCTGGAACCACACCTCCCTATCAGACTTCATCCTCTTGGGCCTGTTCAGCCACTCACCTTCTGACTTCCTCCTCTTTTCCCTTGTCCTTCTGGCCTCTGCTGCCGCCCTGGCCAGCAACATCTTCTTCCTCCTGCTCATCCAGGCCGACAAGCGCCTGCACACCCCAATGTACTTTTTTCTCAGCCAGCTGTCCCTCATGGACCTGACCATGACGGGCACGGTGGTGCCCAAGATGGCAGCCAACTTCCTGTCGGGCAGGAGGTTCATCTCTTGGGGCGGCTGCGCGGCTCAGGTCTTCTTAGTGGTCATGGTAGGAGGAGCTGAGTGCTTCCTCCTGGCGGCCATGGCCTATGACAGGTACGTGGCTGTGTGCCACCCCCTGCGGTACCCTGTGCTCATGAACTGGAAGGCCTGCTCTCTCCTGGCCTTGGCATCCTGGCTGGGTGGAGTGGCCGACAGCATGGTCGACGTGGGCATGGTCTTCAGCTTCCCCTACTGCGGCTCCCTCCACGTGGACCACTTCTTCTGCGAGGTCCCCGCCCTGCTGCGGCTCTCCTGTGCCGACACCTCGCTCTTCGAGGACCTCGTCTATGCTTGCTGTGTGGTCATGCTGCTGCTTCCCCTGGGGGTCATTGTGGCTTCCTATGCCCGGGTCCTCACGGCTGTGATTAGAATGCCCTCCACTGAGGGGAAACAGAAGGCACTGACCACTTGCTCCTCCCATCTGGCTGTGGTGAGTCTTTACTATGGGGGAGCCATTTTTAGCTACATGCAGAGAGCCTCTGCTAGGACACCGGTGGGAGACCGAATCACCTCCATCTTCTACACCATCCTCACCCCAATGCTCAACCCAGTCATTTACAGTCTGAGGAACAGGGAGGTGGGGAGGGCCCTGAAGAAGGTGTTGGGGAGATGGGGAGTGTAGACATGCCCACCCTCCTGGGGGCTTCCTCTCTTGTTCTGCTCCTTCCTCTGCAAGCTCGGTTTCCCTTGTGGCTCATCTTCCTCCTCTGGACTCATTGGGCCCCTCTGGCTGGTTGGAGTGAGGCTATGAGCTGAGCAATCTGAAAACATTTGGGTGGAAGACGTCAGGGTGACAGATGTCAGTGATCAGTTTCACAGCCTTTCCTCCACTGAGCACCACCATTTCCATCCATTAGAGGTCTTTAGGTCCACTATTGACATTTTCCCTAGGGTTGCTAGGGGCAGTTTTCTTCTGAACTGCACGTTAAAAGTGACGGAAGCATGGGACCCAATTCAGAAGTCATTTGCCCCTGAAATGCGGTGCAAAGGTCAGAGCGAGAGTCTGAGATGTAGGAGGTGCGCAGCCTTGGGCATCACTTCATTCTCTGGATTTCACTTTATCGTCTGTACCATCATCGCTACCAGTAAAGTCAGTCTAACATCCCCTGATGTTGCAGGAGAGTGGGGCACGATAGGATGGTCAGTCCCAGGTCCCAGGCAAGTCCCTGAGATGTGCCCTGTCAAGTGATGGTCCTTGGCTTCATGCAGGAAAGAATTCAAGAGCAAGCCAAAGTAGAGCAAAAGTAGATTTATTCAGGGAGATACACACTCCATAGACAGAGTGTGGGCCTTCTCAGAAGGTGAGAGGCCCCAGGGTACAGGGGTGGTTAGTTTTTATGGGCTGGGTAATTTCATGTGCTAACAAATGGGAGGATTATTCCAATTGTTTGGGGGAAAAGGCAGGGATTTCCAGGAATTGGGCCACTGCCTACTTCTTGGTCTTTTATGGTCATCTGGGAACTGTCACGGCACCCGTAGGTGTGCCATTTATCATGTTAATACATTACAATGAGGGAGTCATGAGGCCCAAGGTCTACTGGAAATTGAATCTTCTGCCATCTTGGGCCTGGTTGGTTCTAACCAGTATTTGTCCTATCCTCAATGGCTGTGACATTCTTTTAATGGTGGTGACTCTCCCCCTTCCCTGCTGTCTCACTAACTACTAATTGCTTACTGTAACACAAACTCCATTTCAATGGCTCTTATGTTATTAAGCAAAGTAAAGAGTTTTGTCCTATCTTGAAATTGTACATTAAATATAAGTGTTAAGTATAAAATCTTGAAAACAGACAGAACATTTTTATAGTCTGTCTGTAAGTTTAACATGGCAGAAGGTACAGAAGACACAGAGGTGTCACTCCATGCAATGAAGGAATTTGGGAATACCATTGATTCTTGATCATTGAGACCAAAGGTGGAATGGGGAGTGATGTGAGAAGACCCCAGCAGGAACTGTCTTCTGTTAGGTTTCCATCACAGGGGCTCTGGAGAGATTTGGGAAATAATCCTTTGAGCCATGTCTTCCACAAAGATCTCCTTGAACATGCTGGACCCAAAATCCCCCCTTAATCATTCAATCACACTGCTCCCAAGAGACCTGCATTCATATCCTGAGAGCCTGTGTGGCACCAACTGGGTGTGCACACACAGCGGGGAAGGACAGGGCATGGTCCAGCCCTGGGAGTGTTTGGAGTCTGGCTACTGATACAAAGTGTTCCTGGCAGAGGGGACAGCTGAGCAAAGGCTGAGGAGAGTGTTCTAGAGCAGGGAGAGCCAGGGAGAGAGTGAGGGAGAGCTGGCCACAGGGAACAGGGCCCACATCTCTTAGAGCCTCATTGGTTGGTGTGAGGAGGTAGGGCTTTTCCCTTTTTTTAATAGAACGACAACCCTGGCAGCTCTGTGAGGTCCATCCCATGACCCCTGTAGTAATTCAGATGAGAAATGATGTCACTTGGACCAGGGTGCAAATACAGGTGGTGGCAGAAATGGGCAGGTGCTGGATACATTTTGAAGGTCAAGCCAGTGGGATTTTCTAGCCTACAGTAGAGCTGTCATTATTAGCCCATGTGGTTTTAGGAAGGATTAAAGGAGAAACTGCAGTTAACCTGCTTGGCACTGTGAGCTCTTTGTTAGCTCTTTCTATTAAAATGTATATATTCTTCAGTAATCAATGGATTTCTTAAAAAATGACAGACAATTCTATGCCACTGACAGAACAAATTTTCAAGTAGCTCTCTATGCATGTTGCCCAACATTCATTTTGGAACCTTCCTTGATCCTGTCCCAGCAGGCAGCAGCCTGAGCCTCACCCTCCTCCCATTGTCTGCATCTGGGAGTCTACCCTAATGTACAGGCCGTCCCCACCCTGAGTCTCCTCCTGTGCCCTCTGGGGCTCTAAGGATCGAGGCTGATAGGTGGGTGCCATTGGGGCTTCCCATCCCTGCCTGGGGCTCTGCCCCCTGAAGCAAGCAAACTGCCTCCAGCTACTCAGGGTGGGGCAGCCAGTTCTCCAGCAGGAGGCGCCCTCTGGCTCAGTCTGGAAGGTGGGTGGGGTGAGGTTGGGTGGAGACCCAGGGTGAGGTCTCTTCCCTCCTCCTCCTCCCTGGATCCCTGAGCTTTGTGAGTCTGGGGGCTTCCATCTCTGCCGACCTTCACTGAACTGAGACAGTAGCTTCTCCAAAATGTGGTATTCCATTGGACAGAGAGGCTTAGGTGTTTATTTATGGGTGATTAGGTGGAGAATAATGTACCGAGTGGTTTCCAGGCACCAAAAATCATGGGAAACTCCCTAATTTTCCTTGACTACCTCTGTCTTGGTGTAGAGAACTGACAATCAAGACATTGGAGTGGTAAGGATTTTTGTTCTCCATGTTCCTCGTTCCATTTCCCTTTTGTTTTCCAAGTAGAAGTCTGGACCCCGTTATCTCTTTTTCTTTCTTTTCTTTCTTTCTTTCTTCCTTCCTTCCTTCCTCCCTTCCTTCCTTCCTTTCCTTTTCTTTTTCTTTTCTTTTTCTTCCTTCCTTCCTTTCTTTCCCTTTCTTTCTTTCTTTCTTTCTTTCTTTCTTTCTTTCTTTCTTTTTCTTTCTTTTCTTCCTTCCTTTCTTCCTTAATTTCTTTCTTTCCTTTTCTTTCTTTCTTTCTTTCTTTCTTTCTTTCTTTCTTTCTTTCTTTCTTTCTTTCTTTCTTTCTTTCTTTCCTTCTTTCTTTCTTTCTTTCTTTCTTCTTTCTTTCTTTCTTTCTTTTCTTTCTTTCTTCAGCTCAATGTGATATCCATAGGTGTGGGTTTGGGGGCATTTTCCTTGCTTGGTGTTCTCTGAGCTTCCTTGATCTCTGCCTGTCTTGGTATCTGATGTTAACTTGGGGAAATTCTTGGTCATTACTGCTTCAACTGTTATGTTCCTTTCTCCTGGCATTCCCACTAAGAGCATGTTACACCTTTTGTGGTTGTCTCACACTTCTTGGATAGTCTGCTTTCATCTGGGTCCCAACTGAGGGCTTTTGATTTAATTGGTCTAGGGTAGGGCCAAGGCAACCTGTAAAAGATATCCATGTGATGGATAAAGATGTGGTGTATGTACACAATGGAATACTGCTCAGCCATAAAAAAGATCAAAATACTGTCATTTGCAGCAACACACATAGACTTAGAGATTATCACACTAAGTGAAGTTAAGTCAGAGAAAGACATATTACATAATATCACTGATATGTGGGATCTAAAAAAATACAAGTCAGCTTATTTACAAAACAGAAGCAGACTCACAGACATAGAAGACAAGTTTATGATCACCAAAGGGGAGGGATAAATTATGAGTATGGGATTCATAAGATATACCCCACTGTATATAAAATAAATAATAAGAACTTACTGTATAGCACGTGGAACTATATTCGGTATCTTGTGGCTACTGGATAACAGAAAAGAATCTGAAGCTGTACACCTGAAACTAACAATATTGTAAATCAACTACAGTTAAATATAAAAATATAAAAATACAAATAAATAAATAAGTAAGTAAGTAAGTAAATAAATAAATAAATAAATAAATAAAATTCATGTGATCCTGACACGCAGCTAAAGTTTGGAACCATTGCTTGCAATGACCTCTTCCCCACCCCCCTCAAATCCTGGGGCAGGGAGAGCACATTGGAATGACCCACTAATTGAACTGGGAAAAAAGCAGAGTATAGTGTAGCTGTCTCTCCCCAGCACACTATTAAACACCAGAAAGGCCCAGATGGACTCTCTGGGCCTTGATCAGTGGGTCCCTTCAAGTGGACTGTGCTTAAAAGTCACGCAGGTTGCTTATTGATGGAGCAGATTTGGAGGGCGGGGGGTGGGGCGGGTCTACCTCCAAAGGTTCTGATTTAGCATGTCAGGTGTGAGGTCAGAGAGTCATTTTTTTCCAAAAAGCTGACCAGACACAGTGGTGCAGGTGAGGCACCCACATTTGGAGAAGCACTGCTTTTCAGGGTGCTATTCTCGATTTCCATGCTTGGCTCCTACTCCCTAAGCACCTGTCACTCTCACCTGGAAGCTAAGTCCCTCCCATGGTCCTGCTGACCCAGTTGTCTCTCAAGAACTTTCTGTTGCCTTGAGATGTCCGGTACCTGGAGACAGGAAAAGTATGAAATCCCAAAGGAAAAGCTCCATTCCCCACCCATTCCTTCTAGTCAGAGCTAAGGAAGGGGCAAAACTAGGTTCTTCCATCCTCTGACCTCTCCCTAACTCCCCTGACCAGCTTCTCGTCCTTGGCCTCCAACCCCTCCCATCTCCAGCCCTGCCCTCAGTGGCCACCGTCCCACCTCTTCCCCGACGTCCTGCGTTCTGCCGCCTTCTGCTCTCCCTGCAACTAGCACCTGTCTTTCACCCTGCATTGCCAGTCTACACAGTCAGGACCTCAGTTTCCTGTCTTTATTTATTTATGTATTATTAATGGAGGTCCTGGGGACTGAGCCCAGGACCTTGCGCATGCTAAGCACGCACACTGCCGCTGAGCTATGCCCTCTCTGCCTCTGCCTTTATCTAACCTTCCACTTTGTGACTTCAGAGCCCTGTTCCCGCTGCTGACTGGCAAAATCCCTGGGCGTCTTCCCCCAGACTGTTTCTTGGAGCAGAAAAATCATCAGTGGGGCAGTGGAGGTGGTGGGGAAGGAGTCAGGTACCGGCCTTGGAATTTGACATCCAGCAAGTTTCATTCAACCTCCTCTGGCCCTGGGAGCGCATCTGGAGATTTTTTCTGTTCCTTGTTCTGAAACTCTGCATACAGTTTAAAACCCTTTTTTTTTTCTAAGCCCATAGCTGTAATTCCCAGGGGCCATCCCCTGCGTGAGTTCTCTTTAGAGAGCAGTAGCTATTTGTTCTAAGCGTGAGGCAGGACTGAAGCTGAAAGTCAGCAAGCCTCTTGTTTGTGTTGTGGTTGAGAAGCTGGTGGAATGGAGAGCTGATAAGAACTGGGCACCTGACCGTCAGGTCCCGAGAAGGAGGGGCGTGAAAGAAGAATTGATCTGTTCCAGAGAAGTGATTGGGCGATCAGGTGTCGCTCACTGAGTCTCCTGGGAGATACACAGGCCCTTCACTCGCAGAGGACATTTGGGACAGGGTTCTCCTTTTACCTCTGTCTTGGGACCTCTGTTGAGCAGAGCTGCCCTTTCAGCCTCACTTGTCCTTTCTCATCTATACTCCTTGCATTCCCCACATCCAGCCCCACCGGGACTGCTAAGACACTTACTGGGGCTCCAGACCTCCCCTGGCAGCGGTGATGACCAGTCCCTTGCTCCACACTCCTTGCAGCAGTCTGAGCTTCCAGGCTCCTAAAATAGATCCACCTGAGTCAGAATCACCCAGCCCCTGTTAAACCTGCTGGTTTCTGGGCGCCTCTCCTGACCTCCTAAATCAGAGTGTCCGGGGTGGGGGTGGGGGGGCATGTGGCCCTGCATTTGTGACAAGCCCCTGGGCAGTTTGGAAGCATCATGAACACCAGGCGCCAGCACTGCCTGCTGTGGGGGCTTCCCAAGCCCCGCCCACCCTGTCTGTTCCTCTCTTCACCTGTCTTGGGGCTTTGCCTACTGATTTACGGTTGTTTCCAGCTGTCCCTCTTGTAGGCTGGCCTCCTTAAGAACAACATTCAGCTTTGGTCTGCAGTGCCTGGCCCTTAGTGAGCTCTGATCAGCGCTCCTCTTCCTGCCCACACAACAGCAAAACGCCTGAGAAAGTGTCTGACGGAGGTCTGTGGACCAGGGTGGGAGAGGGGCTGCAGGAGAAGCGCGGGCAGCTGTGTGTGTAACCGGTCAATTCACACGGTGGCTCAGGGTTCCTCTGGAGGGGAATCTCCGGCGGTCCCCGTCCACTTTCACAGTCTGGAGGAGCGGCTGAGCCTGCAAATAAAACATGTGAGTGCCCACCACCGGGAAGGGGGAGGGCCGCAGGTCAAGAGCAGAAATAGAATTCCTAGTGCAAATGCTTCAAGTCGGAGATGAATGTGATAGGATTCAGTTTGAGGGTCCACTTGGCAAAAAGAATCCACCTGGACATCTCAAGGGTGGTGGGAAGCCAGCAAAATAGTGGCCAGGGTAAGATGTGATGTACAAGGTCCACTGGAGCTAGGTGACATGCTTCACTGTTCCCTAAACAAAATAACCAAGCTCCCCAGTGTAAATCTGGCTGCACTGGCCAGAGCACATTCTGAGTGGTTTTGGAGTGAAGTGATGGTGATTCTGCTTTATTCTGGAGGCTGAAGGGGAGGGGCGGGCTGTAGGCTCATCCTGATGGATGGCTTATCAAAATGGACAAGCCCTAAGGCCAGCTAGGAGACAAGGAGGAGCTACTGCCACAATCCAGGCGTCAAAATGATGGTGTCTCAGATCAGGTGATAGGAGGTGGTGCAATTCTAGGTTTATTTGGAAGGTAAAGCTGATGGAATCTGCTGACAGTCTAGGCTGGAATGTGACAAAGAGGAGTTAAAAATGGCACCAAGGTCTTGAGCAACGGGAAGAATGGAGTGAGTTAGCAGCCCCTGCGAGGGCAGGGAGCAAGCTGGTTGGGCAGAGGGTGGGACATCAGAGGTGAACTTGTATTCAGGTTACGTTTGCAGCGCCCCTTAAGACATCGTGGTTACTCTCGCCAAGCAACCGTTCCCTTTTGCCTACACCTGAGAAATGATCTCCTGACCTGTCTCCCTACACTTTTCACCTTCTAATTTCCACACCCTGAAAGAATACTTTAAAGGGAAAAATCTGATATGAATTGCGGATGTGACCCATCTGCTATGGTCTCATGTTGCCCCTTGGGGAACACCTAGCTCTCTTCTTCTATCCCCAAGGCCTCCCTGTCCTGTCCCCAGATCTCCTCCAGTTGCTCATCTTACCCCAGCCCTGATGTAATTTCCCAGTTCTTGGTTCTGTGGCAAGGACTAGACTTTTCCTTCTCCCTGGTCCCTCATCCTGGGCATTGACGAGACATCTTTCAGGTCTCTCTTCCTTTCAGAGATCCTCCTTGTCCCCACCCCATCCCCTGCTCAGATAGGGATCCCATCATGCACCCACGTGGCTCCTCAGTTTCCCAGTTCCTAGCCATCAAGCTCCTGCCACGTGTAAGAGGCCAATGCCCTCAGTTCCTGCTAAGACCCACGCTGGATCCTCAGTCCCCAGCACAGAGCCTGACATCCTCTAAGCTTTGGGCGCTTTAGTCAAATCTTGCCGGTGGATGGATTTACCAAGCGCCTGCTGCAGGTGAAGCTTCCTGTTCTCTGAAAGTCGGACCACAGTGGCCTGAGTCCCAGTCCACCTGGGCCTCTAAGATCTTGTGCGAGGCCGGTGGCCCTCCGTGTCTGTTTATCCTGCCTGATTTTGCAGTGGTCCTTGCGCTACCACATCGTTCTGTACTGTTTCTCATCCCTTTTCTTTTCAGTTAGGACTGCTGCCACTACATCTCCAGGAATTCTGCTGCGGCTCCCTCATCCCATGGTTCTGGAGCTACTGACTGCTCATGACTGTAGAGCCATGGGTCCTAGCCCTCCTTTCTCTGAGTTTTAGGAAACCTACCTTTCCCAAATCTAGGCCACATTTTCCCCTTATTTTTTTCTTTTTAAATAGATTCCACACATAAGTGAGATCATACAGTATTTATCTCTCTGACTTACTTCACTTAGCATTCACGGTCCATCCATGTTGGCACAAGTGGAAAGATTTCCTTACTTTTTATGGCCAAATAATATTCCAGTGTGTGTGTGTGTGTGTGTATACACTAAATTTTCTTTATTCATTCATATTTAATCATTCATGGACACTTAGGTTGCTTACATATCTTGGCTATTGTAAATAATGCTGCAATGAACAGGGTGTGGGTGGGAAGATATCTTTTTGAGTTATCGTTTTCATTCTCTTTGGATGAATATTCCAGAAGTAGAACTGCTGGGTCATATGGTAGTTCTATTTTTAATTTTTTGAGGAGCCTCCATACTGTTTTCCACAGTC